TATTAAAAACTAGATTTAGAAACACTACCTGCAATCAACTTCTAAGAGGACCAAATCATAATGCGTTGTCATTTATGGAGACTAAAATGTAATGCTTCTCAGATTGGAATTATACCAGCTCTCTTACCTTTCAAACATCGAACACAGCAGTGTGTACAGAAATAGATTGCAGGATGAAACCACGGATGTAAAAAAATATAGAACCAACCAGACTGCGAGAAAGCCTTCATGTAAAATCAGTGGCGTAGTGGAAATGCTAAAGTGATTTTTTTTTTCTTTAAAAAAACGTTACATCCACACTAGGATTTTCTCCTGTATCGCGGAGGCAGTTTACATACATAGATTTCACAAGGACAAACATCCAAATCCAAAACAATTATTTGTAGGCCATACAAATACTTGTTCCGTGCGGGATTCGATCCTGTGGCCCTTGGCGCTTCAACTCATTGCAAAGCCACTGCGCCATGGAGCAGTCAAATTAATTTGTAGTGGATTCTCGTTGCGATTGTCTTTATTTTATAATACTTTTCGATAGTTTAGATGTTTACTCATGTGGTGTAGTAATTAAATTAAGTCAAGAATATTTTGAACACTCACAGCGTTTGCTAGTTACTAGAGTACCAACATAATAAACCAAATTCATGATCTGTCATAGCTATTTTTTTCTAGAATATGTTTCTAACCTCTAATTTTTTTACGTTTTATATAATTCCAGTTTAAAAGACATAATAGAATATTCAACAACAAATAAGTCAATTAAAACTTTAAGAATAAAAATTATCTTTTATTTTAAAAAATTATAATCTTCAAAATGTGCCAATAAATTTTATATCATTACAAGAAAGTATTTTTGTTTTACAGAAAGATCGATTTACATAAATATGAAACTTAACAGTCATGCTAAACTAGTCTAAACATATCCACAAATAGCGAATTATAGGCATCATTCGAAATAGGCTTGGGAAAAAAATATCGATATATCTCGTCGATATTATATATCGATATAGCGATATTTATTTTTAGAGTATCAAATTCGTATAAATTTCGATATATTATGTTAAACTTCATCCTTATATCGATATTTATCACGCGATATACGAGTATATCGATACTGTTTAAAAATATTGATTCGATATACAACATCTAACGTAATTAACGCATATCCTCAGACACCCCAATCAGTATATTATGTTATAATCATAATATATACACTGAATTCATCGTTAAACATGTTTATGCATTGATTATTTTATTAAATTAGTTATACTAATTCCGGAAGAGTGTTGTGATCACCGTACAAAACCACGAACACTAGGTTGCTTCTTCTCTTCTGCTTCTTGCCTACTTGCCTTGGCCTATTAAGTATTCGCTCGCATTCGAAACGAGTTAACGCCGCCGCCGCTTGACACAACTATAGGTATGTATTAGTGCCGAAAAAAAAGCCGACAATACATGATTGGTTACGTTAAAGAAATACCTACCTATGAACATTAACAGATGTCAGAACTCCGTGCATTTATTTGTTTATTTAAGTCTAGTAAACATTTGATTGCATCTTTCAATCATACTTTTCAGACTTTGGACTTTCGACTTGAATAATTTTGTTTATTGATTATGATACAATGTCAATAGGCAATATTCGTTACAAAATATTATGAATTTGCATAACATTTTAATTATAATTGTAAATAATAATGAACTGCTAAAAATAAGAGGGAATACGACAACATAATTCAAGGACGGCGTGTTTAAAAGATGTGAATCAAGATTACAATAATTTTAAGAATCAAATATTTAACTTACTGATAGCCTAAACTCTCATGCAACGTTGTATTTTAATACATTTTTAAAATGTCCACCACGGCTCCGTAGCGCAGTGGCTTAGTAATTGAGTTGCAGCGCTAAGGACCGCTGGTTCGAATCCCATACGGAACAATATTTGTATGGCTTACAAATAATTGTTCCGGGTCTGGATGTTTGTCTTTGTGCAATTTATGTTTGTACACTGCCCCCACAATACAAGAAGAAATTCTAGTGTGGAGGTTACGTTTTAAAAAAGAAATAAAAAGAAAGAAAAAGAAGAAAATAATTTCAGTGTCATTTTTAACTATTCTAAAATCGTTCACTCATAGAATTACTATTTTTAGGTCCTCGGCACTTGTTGTCTCACTAAAATAATGAATTAAATTAAAAAAAAATGATTTAATACGTCCCCATAAAAAAGTCAAGAGGCGTCAAATCAGCTGATCTGGGAGGTCAATGGCCTGGCCGCCGCGACCTTTATAAGGCACTCCAAACTCTGTATTTGTAAAACAACTATGTATTTGTAAACACTTTAACATACTTGAAATAAGGTTCAATTTTCTTTATTTTGTATTGAATGACGGAATTTGTATTAATACAAATAAAACTGCACTTTTAAAAGTCTTATTGCCTTGAGTTACGGTCCATTTCAGTTTGTTTAGACAGTACAGGTTTAGTGTGACTGTAAATTACGTAGTTTCAATTATTTTTGGGATAAAAAATTACCTATATTAAAAATAATAGAAATCGATTCAGTAAACGATTCTGAACAAACTACTTTCTCAAAGTGCGTTAATTAAGTTACGTGTTGTATATCGATATATTTCTTTCCCTTGCCCATCGCTAATTCAAAGACTTCTGTGTAAACTACTAGACCATCATTTCACTACAAAAACTGTGTTATAGCTGTGGTTCGCGTGTGCACGGGCACAGGCGGGTAGCTGGCACGGTAAATATAGCACGCAGTTGTATTTTGATTTACAACAGTTACTTTTTTTAGGCAAATACGAAATAAAATTACATACTTATCTGAAATAAACTTCAAATCACATTGACAAAATTTCTTAGTCACAATATACAAAATTAGTGTTAGATTGTCGAATTTAAGTTTTACAAAACAAAGAGCTTATCTTCTAGCCCCGTCGCAGTAGACTAAAGAAGCTACGGAGAATTGACCGTAACTTAGTGCGCAATGTATTAGTACCGAGGTGCCCGTCTAGGATTATACCATAGACTTAAAATATGCTTACGCCAGTACATCAGTCTATGGATTATACCTACATAGAAGTCTTTGGTAACATTATATCTTTCAATCAAATTTCCATTATATTACTTTCATGTTTACATTGTCATTAAAGTACTAAAAATAATTAAAACAGCACAAATATTGTAAAAAGACATTTTAAACATAACTCAGTCAATTTCATAAATACAATTTTCCCTATAATGTAAAAACAAGTATGTGTTACTGATTAATGTAATAATTAATAAGATGTACTTAAATCTAGTCCACGAACAATGGTCTAGTCATTTGAACTATATTATTAGTTTATAAGAATGACCACAATTAGAAAATATGATTTTAACTGTATTTATTATTTTATAAAAGGTTTTAACAAACGGAAATGTAAATAACCGATCTGAATAATAATATTTTTTGTTACTGTTAAGGCCAGGTGTTCTTAGCGCAATAGGTATTTACGTGCGGACGCCGCCGGCGCGGCGCTAAAAAATAAATATAGGTAACTTACCTCCAGGTCTTACCTCGGCAATGGCCCGAGGGACAACACTCACCATATATAACCCTAAAGGGAGACACTGGCAATGGCAAGTGACGTGCGGTTCGAAAATCACTTGAAAAATCGATTTTTTTTTTTAAATAAATGTAATAAAAAAAAACGATCGGGTAGAATCGATTTCAAAATGAATTACCTATAAATTGATATTATTTATAGAAAAAAGGAGTATGAGTACTTGTTTAAAATGAAATTTGGCTTGTAAAAAAACTACAAATGGAACGTAGTTCGGTATTTTTTTTAAATTGTATTGTATCGTGTTTTGACCGAGTACATCATAAGGAGAAAGAATGTACCTAAAATTTTTTTTTCAGATTCTAAATGTAATTATTTGCCTACCAAAAACCAATTTAAAAACCGCACAAAACAGAACACCCATCCTTAACACTAGCTTGTTTTTTTTTTAAATGGCATAAAAATGTTTACCGACGTATTATATAATCTGTTTCCCTATAAGGGACAGAATGTATTTAATGTATGTACTTTGTACTTAAATATATTTTTTATATTTTGCAGAGGATATAAAATGCTTCTATTTTCGGTGCCTGTTAATTTGTACAAGTGTTAATACGTGTAACTAATATTTGAATATTTATTATTTGTAAACCCTCTCAAAAAGTGAGAGGCCCGCGCCCAGCAGTGGGAAGTATATGGGCTGTAACTAAGTCTATAGATGCAATAAATAGAATAAAACATTTAAATTATACATTTTGTATGTATTTTTATTTAGCCCATAGAAATCCCTACTCTTACAGAACAAAGTCGAGGCTTTTAAGTCGGAAAATGGACACCGAAACAAAGCTCAGAGAGAGACCGAGAATATTTATTCAAGTTGGAGTGTGTTCATTGAGACTTCGAGCTGATAGATTTTCAAGTCAATCGGTCGAGCCATTTCGAAGATTTTCAAAAATAAAAACCAAAAATACAAAAACTAAATAGATTTTTTTAATTGTTATTAGGGACCCACTGCTGCCCATTTCCTGGTTTCTTTCTCACTGTCGCCTCATACGATACCCACGGTACGATATGGTGTAGTGGATATTCTTACACCGCCACCAACTATTTATCAAGTACATTAGATACGAGTATATATGACCGTTAATAATTTTAATAACTCCTGGGAATGAGGTGATCGCTACCATGCTATTTCTAATGTATTGTTCAATTGTACTACGTTGTAACTTATTATAAATTATAATAAAGCCCTTCTCCCATTACGATACGCACAGGCGATTCAAGTATCCTGCAAGTCTTGGCGACTAGTCGCCGCCAAGTATCTCACATACATTTGAATGCAGGCTCGCACACTACGCTACTGGTATCCTACGCGTCCGCGACTAGTATCGCGCGACTCGCTGTGTTGGTCGCTTGTGCGTCGCGTCTCCTGTGCGTCTCGACAAGATGGCGGCGGAGCAAGAAATAAATATTAAGTTTGTACAAGAAGTTGAAAAACATGCTTGTTTATATAACTACAAATTACCAGAATACATGCGGAAAAATACAATAGATAGGACTTGGGCAGAAATTGGGAATAAATTTCAAATAACAGGTTTGTTTTGTTTATACATAATAAGTAGTTTATTAATCAATGTTACATTGTATTTTGTAAACAGTATTGGTATTGCCAAGGCAATGAACCTTGCTCAGATATAAAGTAGTTTGCTAAATAATTTCGTTGGTTGTGTGGTGACATAGTTGCAGTTATTTCTATATTTTGAGGTTGTATAGTCATAGTAACGGGAATAGTGACCGATCTGTTTTGTATTACCTCCCTTGGACTATATAGAATACCCTCATGTTGTCGAACAAAGTTGTGTAAAATACACACTGCTTTTATTATATTTGATACTTTTTCTATTGTATGACATCTTATAGCTGTACTTAATACTTGAAATTTCTCAGTCATCATTCCAAAAGCACATTCAATTGTATTCCTCCCTCGGCTTATTCTGTAGTTAAACACCCTTCTCAAGTCATTTAAGGTTCTTTGGGGATATGGTCTCATGAAGTAAGATAGAAGGGGAAATGCCTCATCCCCAATAAAATAGTATGGAAATTCATAGTTAGATGGGTCATTAGGAAGTTTGGAAGGTAAAGGAATATTAAGACGTCCATGTTCAATCCAACGTTTGATCCTGGAAGCACTGAAGATTCCACCGTCGCTGTTCCTACCAGCATAGCCAGTTTCGATAACAGTAAATAATCCATCGGCATTACAACATGCCATTAATACTATCGAATGGTAGGATTTGTAATTAAAATTACTTGATCCCGAATTAGGTAATTTTTCTATTCTGATGTGTTTACCATCACATGCCCCTAAGCAGTTGGGTAAATTCCAGAGGCGATCAAAACGAGCAGCAATGTCTTTCCAATGTTGCACATTTGGTAATGGCATATAGTCTCTATTTAATATCTCCCATATTATAACTGTAGTTTCAGCTATGACCTTGCAAATTGTATTATCTCCTCTTGCAAAATACAATCCTAGGCTTACAAATGAACAACCTGATCCCAAATATCTGTAATTAATAACAATTAATATTAAGGTTATTTTCAGGATCAGAAGCTAAAGAAAAGTGGAAAAATCTACGTAGTGTTTTTGTTCGCCATTTGAAACCGCCTAAAAGTGGAGCAGGGACTGCGCAAAAAAAAACCATACTACTTAGCTGATTTTATGCAATTTACTATACCGTTCATAAAAACAGCAGGAAAACCATCAGGAAATTTGAACGAGACAATAGAAGATAATGACACATTGCAACCACAGTCTCCTGAACTATGCGAACAAACACAGTTCACAGAAAGTGTACCTACAAGCACTCAATCGATCTCGCAACAGCATTCATCTCTTCCTTCTACAAGCAGTCAATCAATCTCACAACAGCATTCATCTCTTCCTCCAACAAGCACTCAATCACTCTTGCGACACCAATTACCACCAGCAACAAGCAATAAAAGAAAACGGAAGAAGCTTGAAGAAACTCAAGCTGAGCAAGATATTGCAGCTTATTTTAAATTGAAACGATCTAAAATTATAGAAAACTGTGACAGTACTGAAAATTCAAACAAAATGTTTTTACTGAGTTTACTGTCGGACGTGAATAAATTGAATGATAATCAAAGAAGACTGTTTAAGAGGAGAGTGCTTGAATTGATAGACGATATTATGGACCAAAGTAGTCCCATCACACTTTTATCTACTCCTTCACCGACTGACAGGGCAATAAGTACGCCAAATACCATAAATGAAAGTGTACAATCAAATACTGCCACACTATATTATGAATCAATACCTATGTTTTTATCACAGGAAGATGAAGAATAAGTAATAATTTTTATAATTGATTGAAATAGCCTATGTTTTAATTTGATGATTGATTGATTCATACTAAAAATTTAATATACATTTTTAATTACATATGTAACAATGGAGTATTATTTACCTTAGGGTTATCAGAATCCTTTCTTCCGCACTAACACACTCTCTAAATATAGTATTTCGTTGATGTATAGCAGGCTTTATTAATGTAACAAGATGCAGGTAGGTCTCTTTAGACATTCGGTAGAAAGACAAAAATTTATTATCATCATGTTGTAGTTCTTGTGCGGCTACAAAAACTCTACAATTTATGTTTCTTTCAATATATGGATGAATCCAGTATTTTCTACTCTTGCGTTGACGTCTTCTGTTTCTATAAAACAGAAAAGCTGCAAGTGCTTCTTCGTCACTAGAATCGCTCGACATAACGTCCGTCCACAAAAACGAGTTTGCACAAATGATAAATTTAGTCATTTTTCAGTAGCATAATATGCGAGCGTCGGGTAGCGAACAAGTATCCAACTAGTATTCTACTCGAGTATCGTACCTTACAAGTATCGTAATGGGAGAAGGGCCTTAGAATCCCGCTGCGTTTTTCGCTGGTTCTTCACAGTGCAGTTCCCGAACCAGTGGTAAAAGCAAAAATGTTTTTAATAAGTATTACTTGTAATCTATGTTGAATATAAATTATTCTTTTACATTATATCCTAATATCTTTATATTACGCAATGCAAACTGGCTGTTAATACTATAACTTATCATTGAAGCTATCAGTAGTAAAAAATCCCATAAAGTTCCTGAGGGAACCATGCTTCGACTTCAGTAACTTTTGTCCCAACAACATAATGCAGTTCCGATCACTATAAACACTATGCCTAGGATTGAACCTGAAAAAAGATATTTTTTTTTATTTTATTGCATAAGGTACACAAAATAGATAGTAGTTAATATACAGGGCTGTCACAGTAATGGTGGATAAATACTAGTAATGCTATTAAACATTACTAATATTCCCTTTAACCACTTCTGGTAAGCTTAAAATACTTGTGTCAGAAGCGGTTCACGATAGTAGTCGAATGGCGGATTCGAACCCACGACCTTTCGAGTTCGCGGTCCGCGCCCTGCCATTAGGCTACTGACGCTTATGATACTTTTACACATTAACGGCTATAGCTCAGTAAGTAATGACATTAAGTACATGGTATCCTAATGTTTTAGAATCTTTATGATATAGGCAAACTTTTTAAATGGTTGGCCACACACATCCTATACGTTCTTTTTTCACCACAGGTGCTCAAACTTAGCAGTTAAATAAAGTAAAAAATTTAAACTTATGTTTAGTGCCGTCTTGTAAAATACTACCCATAGTAGTTGAAAACTTTTAAGGGTAATTTAGAAAGATCATTATTAGGTAACACATTAAAAGAAAAAAATCCGATCTATGCACTAAACTGCGGACGTGATGACCACAAATGTGAGAAGAAGTACGAATTTTCGGAATTTTATAAAAAATGGCGTAGACCGTGAACCGTTCGGGATAGAATTTTTTTTAGGGAACCGAGGCCACCTCACCCCCGCCCGAACACGTACGTACCAGATTATCCACCATTACTGGGACACCCGTATATACATATATAAAAAAGAATAATGGTGTGGATCTAAACTGCAATCCCAAAAAGTGTACACAGCATAATAACATAACAGCAGTATGGACTTTACCGTAGCTAAAAGTATACAACATATAACAAATTAAATTAAATATTGAGAATTGAGAAACACTGAGAATTTTAATAATTTAAAATTATAAATTTTGTACAACCGACTTCAATATGAACTATAAAGAATAACTCAAAAACTATTAGTCAAACCTTGATCAAATTTATATGGGACCACATGAGAATTACCAGCTTTCAAATAAAAAAAGAATCATCAAGATCGGTCCACCCAAAAAAATTATGAGGTAACGCACATAAAAATTAGAAAAAAAATAAGTATATACAGTCGAATTGAGTACCGTCTCCTTTTTGAAGTCGGTAGAAAAACTTAAACAACAACCATTGATCGTGAGCTGTGATGATTCTGATAATTATTTTACTTTATCCTGGTGATTCAGATCAGGATATAGGCTAAAGTTGTATTGACATCGGTCCTTGATACGAGTGCAGAGTACAAGTCAATCGGCCGTCTACAAGTTGGTGAAATAGATACACGCGAAGATAATAAAACGTGTAAAATAGGCTACTATTGAATTATCTAGATGAAAGTTGCTAGGCTTCATCTCATCGTGATCACGGCACATTCTGACAACAGGATTGAAAAAGGAAGTGTTATTCCCGTGTACGTCTAACTTGAAAATTATATGAAGAGATATATATTTTTATTTACCCGTTTTCTCTATAAAATCTTAACATGTAATCCCTTTTCTCAATAAAAGCCTGGGCCCGCAGGTTTTTTTTACAAAGTTTATAAAGCAGCATACTGTCGAGATGGTGATTGCTATGATCCATAGCACCCATAAGCAATTATATTTATCCTCGATTAAGGATTGGAATTGGTAGAATGCCTTATTCCCAGTAAAATGTGTCTCTGATTCTCTACACCCACCATACGATGCACATCAGTACTAAGCTCTTATCTTAAACATCTAGTTCAGGTTTTTATTTTGCAAAACTGACAAATGAGCATACAGTCGAGATGGTAAGTAAATGGTGTGTTGCATAGACGTCTACATTTATCCTCAATTAAGGATCAAAATTTAAATGCATTGACACTCCTGAGATCTAAGGTGGAATGCCTTGTTACCAGTAAAAAGTGTCTCCGGTTTTTTACACTCACTATACGTAAGCAGTATCAAGCTGCTATTTTACGCTGGCATTCTGTGAGAGCGTGGTGCTTCCCCGGTCGAGCCGACCCTTTCGCTTGCGCAATGACACAATGCGCTTTGGCGTCGCTCTACCGCGTATAAAATAGGCCAATATAATATTATAAACACTACTATTAATATGACACATGTTTCTTCTCTAGGCACGGCGTCAATAAGGGTTACTAGTCAGTACTCATTCGATAAGAAATTATCAGTAAAATCGGTTATCAAACGTCGAAGATATTGTGTTATCAACACAAATTTTAAACAATACAATATAGAATTGATAACTTCTTTCTCTAAATTTTTCATTTCTGAAATCTTTTAATAAGAAAGCAATGACCATAGTCCTTAATCTTTATATATTATTTATACTAGCGATCCGCCCCGGCTTCGCACGGGTGATTTCTGCATCTCGACAAGAGCGCCACCTACCTGGTCCAATTGTGAATCTAAACCAACCAGAGACCCACTCACTCTAACTAAACCAACCAGAGACCACTCACTCACAAAAAATTTCATAAAAATCGATCGAGCCGTTTAGAAGCAGTTTAGGGACAAACACGTAGAGATATACTGTATATCTTACAGGGTTATTTTGCAATAACCGGCCTTTGCACAGGTTCAGAATAACTAATATAGGCAAAAAAATCTCAAACATTCTGTCCTTATTATGTTTTAAATTCAAAATGCGTGGTAACGCTTACGTAAACTATTTAGTCATCTGTGGTGCAACAGAGTTTAAATAAATAAATAAAATTACCATAGTCCAAGGGTTCCTCGGCGCCAATAACAGAGCCCGTGATTGCAGTGAAGGCAAAGGATAAACTGTTTGAGGCAGGTACAGCTAGCGACAGTGGAGCGCGATGTACTGCCATCAGGTATACTAGGGACCCGCACTGGTTCACCAGGAAAGGCACTACATACTAAAATCATGAGTACTCGTATAAATGTATAAATAAACTAAAAATCCATCTATCCATTACAGCCTATAAAAGTCCACTGCTGAACATAGGCTTCCCTCATAGATTGAATATAATCAACAAATAAACAAAGAATAATTTTTAAACCAATACCATATTCTTCGGTAGTATAGTGGTTAGTATCCCCGCCTGTCACGCGGAAGACCAGAGTTCGATTCACCGCCGGGGAGACTTACATTTTTAAATAGTTTTTTTTTATAGGATAAGGGTGACAAACGAACACACAGTCCACCTGATGGTAAGTGGTTGCTGCGGCCCATAGACATCTACATCTATTAAAATGTAGATGTGTTGTCACCCGTGAGGACTAAGATGGAATGCCTCATTTCCAGTAAAAAGGGCCTCCGGCCACCTGCACTCACCAAGCGAAACGCAGAGGTAAACCTCTACTTCACGCTGGTATTCTGTGAGGTCGTGGTACCACCCCGGTTCGAGCCGGCCCATCCGTGCGACAGCAAAAGCTGCCGCGTGGCTCTACCACTGTTTAAAAGTTTATGTTGCAAATTTCAAAAAATAAATATTGAGTATTATTTCGTTAAATTTAATTTTTAACTATGGTGTAAGCACACAAAAGAGAAAGGTGGACCGAGCGCTGCGTAAGTACATAATACACAAGGTGCCGAAACTTGACGCGAACTACATTTTGTTTCTTTAACAGCTCTAAAGACGCTGCGTTTCCTTTCCGTAAAGGAAGTCGCTTCCGATTCGGCAGAAAGGCCATACAGGCCAAAGTCAGTCCCAGATGGTGTTTAGTCGGTAGGCACTTAGGTTTCATAGTGAGTCCCACATAACCACGCAGCCGGCTGCGTGGTATGCTTAGAGCATTCACCACCTCCCTCCTCCGCTTCCCGGCGGGTAGCCCTTTACCAAAGATGTTTTGACCTATAAAACATCTTTGCCCTTTACATTGTTTCTGGGGGCAAAAAAAAAAAGCCCTAAAGTCGCTGGACGCATACATTTCTTTAGTTGTTTGCAGTTTGTTGGTTGCAAAATGATCTTAGATGCATATGTGTAGAATTAAACAATATAATTTATGGATGTCTCAACCTAAATATTTCAACACATCAAGTAAATAATTATTAGGAACAAAAACCTACTCGAAATTATTAAAAGACTAGTAATATATTTCTAACATAAATATATTATATATAAGTATATTAGGTCTTTACCTATAGAATTGCCGTTTTTTATGAAATAAGTTAACGTAATTTTTTTAAATATTGTTTATTTTTATTAATCAAAGTAATCAGCCGTGCAATTGATGCATCCTTGCCACCACTGTGGCAGTTTATGATGCCCATCTTGAAGAAATCAACTAGACGGGAGGCAACAAATATTTCAAAGGCATTTTGTACTGCCTCTCGTATATTAAATTTCTTTCCCATCAAAAGTTATCCAAATTCTGGAAAAAGTAGAAGACGGTAGGCGCAGGGTCGGATAACGAAAAGCTTCCAACCCCAGCTCTTGTAACTTGGAGACCGCCTGTTGTGCAGTATGAGGTTGCGCGTTGTCGTGCAGGAGCAGCGGGGACGAGCGATTGACCAAAGCTGGTTAGAGACATGCGAGCTTCTCCATCATTGTGCTCAGTTCTTCACGGTACACATCAGCAGTAATGCTCATCCCGTTTGGTAAGAAGCTGTGATGAATCACACCGACGCTAGGCCACCAAACAGTGATCATCACTTTTTTAGGGGTAACTTTTTGTTTAAGGCATTGTTTAGGTGCTGAGCCACGATCCAACCAACTTTCTGAGCGCTTGCGATTATCAAACAGAATCCATTTTTCGTCGCAGGTAACAATGCAGTTCAAAATTCGTTCGTTTGTATGCATGTTGAGCAGTGCAAGACATATCTCGACGCGTGCTTCGCGCTGGCAATCATTGAGTTCGTAGGGCACCGATGTCATTGCACTATGAATATGTAGGACTATTATTTATTTTGTGCTATGACATCGGAACGTCGAACATCTCAGATTAAATTTATTAATATTTGGTCTAAGTACCTACGCAAAAATTAAATTCATATTGCGTAGTTCATACCAAAAATTAAGTACATACAGTTACACGTACTCAACGTAAATCAAATTTAAAAATCGAACTGAGATTTTTCGCGTACTATCTTACTATGCTTTCAATACAATTAAGTTTCACTACATGAATAGTTTTATACTATTTTTTATTATAAGGGTGAGAAATTAGCACACAGTCCACTTGATGGTAAGTGGTTGCAGTGAGCCATAGACATCTACATTTATCCTCGATCAAGAATCAAAATGCAGATGCGTTTCCAGTAAAAAGGGTCTCCGGTTCTCTACAGTCACCATACGAAACACAGGCACAGCAGTGTTAAGCTGCTATTTTACGCTGGTATTCTGTGAGAGCGTGGTTCTACCCCGGACGAGCCGACCCATTCGTGCTACAACTATACCAGTAATATAGCTGCAGCATGGCTCTACCATGTAAAGCATACTACTATAAGTAGTGTTATAACCAAAAAAAAAAGTTTTTCATTTGTGTTACTTTCCGAACGTTACTTATTTACAGGAAATTGTTAAGATGTTGTACTTTATCCGTTTAAAATGTTATTTACCAAAGGATATCTTTAAATTAGATAAATATCATAAGACTACATTTTTAACACAAGTCCTAGATTTTTCTTTAAAAAATATCGCTTATGAAATTTCGTTTATATCAGAAGTGTATCGAACCACGGAGCAAATACAAAGCTATTACTTTGTATTTGATCCGTGTATCGGACAGACTTAATATAAAGACTTAACCATTTCACTGTCCCATAAGTCATACATATTTCACCTTTTCAATCGTTAACTATTGTGTCTTTTTCGCGGAAAGGGAAGTTGGAAGTATCTTTAAGGGAGTTTTCACATATATATATTGAATACTTTATATATACTGAAAGGAGTTTTGGTGGAAACTTGACCACCGGCAGATTGCTGATTTTGTTTTATTGTATAACAATGTAAATAATGGTTTGAAATGGATACGTAAGTGGTGCCATCTTGTGTATTAAATGCCTGCACATGTAAACTACAAGTACTTCGATGGTGAATTGTACCTCTATATATCTCGTCATCGATTGTTTGTATGCTAGCTCAAAGTGCCATGAAAATCTCTCAACATTTCGCAATGTGACGCATCAACTTATTGTGAAAAAGTTTTTCAACAAATTATCATAAGATAATTTCATAATACTAAGCACTAACAAACGTATAGTACGAATCCATTACAAAGAGAAAAAAAGAGTATCTATAATTGTATAATAAACATCACAAACGCTATATTTAATTTAGTTAGCATTCGTCATGCATTCGTTATTATTTGACACCTACCCGCCAATTACCCAAAAGAAAAACGATTTCGGCGTAAGCCTGACCAAGCCTTGTTCCCGCTTGCACCGAACGCAGGCCTTTAGTACCCTGGCGGATAAAAGGATTGGTACAACCCCAAAGTATCCCGGTCAACACCAACAAACCTGGAACGAAAACAAAATACTAGTTCGATTGCTGACTAAGCAAGGGAAAATTTAAAGGGTGAAGAAATATAGAAATGTCTCTTAGATATTCATAAAAAAAATTGGTTTAATGCCGGGTTTCTATATTTAAAAAAAAAACGCTTTTTTTATCTTTTGCGAGCACGTAATAAAGCCATGATGCAACTATATTATGGTTGAAGTATGGTTATAGATCACGTACTATTCTTTATTCTGTAGTTGTAGCACGAACCGTAAAATAGTTGCTGTTTCGTATGGTGAGTGTAGAGAACAGCGGAGACACTTTTTACTGGAAACGAGGCATTCCATCTCAGTCCTCAGAGATGACAACGCATCTGCATTTAGAATTCTTAATCGAGGATAGACCTAGATGTCTATGGGCCACAGCATCCACTTTCCAACAGGTGGACTGTGTGCTCGTTTGTGACCCCTATTCTATATAAAAAAGGAGTCGTTGTGCAGTAGATGAAGCGCATGATAACCTCTATTTTAAAACAAAATACCAGTTCAACTATTTGTGAACCGATTAAAGTTTTTTCATTTTAAGTTGCTGCATTGCTGCAGTTTGTAAAATAAACTGTTTTTACAAACACTTCGTACTTAATAAAACAGCTCGTTATGGAGAACTTGTTTTTATCGAGATCTTGAATATGCTAAAGGAATCGGGCATAACGGCATAAGTCATTAGTCACATATTTTAGCCGACTTCAAAAATATTTGAGTTTGAAAAAGTTAAACAACACGCATTGATCATGAACTGTGGTGCTGATCAGGAGACTAAGTTATACTTATTAAATTATTGTATTGTCATCGGTCCTTGATACGAGTGCAAATTTTCAAGTCAATCGGCCAATAATAGATATTTAAAAGGAGGAGGTTCCTAATTTCTCTTATTTATTCTGTGCTAATTCGACTGTAGATTTTTGTACCTCTTCGTCAATTGTAAGCCGATCTTGATGATTCTTTTTTTATATATAAATTTTTACAATAAATTACGTGTCACGTTGTTAGTCCGCGATGGACTCCTAAACTACTGAACTGATTTCAATAAAATTTTGCACACTGTGTGCATTTTGGTCCAACTTGAGAGATAGGATAGTTTTTATCCCGATAAATGACCATCAAATTTTTTATTGCGAATTTAAGAATTTTTATAGGAAGTGTCGTCGGGAAGAGCAGAACAACGTCTGCCTGGCGAGCTAGTATATAATAATTTTACTTCAGGGGTAGTCCCATACAAATTTTGAAAAGAAAATCCTGCCCAAGGGTGGCAAAATAGGGGATGTAGTATTTAATATAATTATTTATACGACATTGAGATTGTGATATCCTCTTAAAAGGATATAAAGAATATATTTTACTAAAAAGTAAAAGTCAACTTCACAGACCTTAAAAATAAAATAACGTCACATTCGAAAGTGGTACTTTAATTCCATAAATTATGTCTTAACATTGACTTGACTCGAAATCCTTGAAGTCGGGTTTCACTTTTTATCGAAAGTTTATATTTTTATTTATTTATACACGAACTCGTCACCTTCAAGGTATGTGGACATTACAGTCTGTAGCCAAGTCCGGACGAAGGAAACTAGAGATCACCTCTGCGAATGTAAAAAATAAGAAAACCACGCTTCATGCGCGAATTGTGATCGCCAACAATACCACAATTTTTCGTCTTTAATGGTGATCCCGTCGCTTGCCTAGGTTTTTTTTATAGAATATGGGTGACAAACGAAAACGTAACATTCACTTACCATCAGGTGAGCCTTGTGCTCGCTTGTCACCCTTATTAAAAAAGCGAGAGTTGCGGCTTTGGTTTAACTGAACCTACTGTCGTTGACACTATTACTCTCTACCATGAACTCGCTGATATTTCTTGACAGTTGCTTTCGTATTCTTTACAAAGTTACCAGACTGCCCAGACCAGCGTAGGGGAGTTAAGAGGGCCATGTTTAGTAGTATACTTTTACATACTAATAAACAACGAGTCAGTGTGCTTTATCTTTTTCAACTTCAACCGACTTCAAAAAAAGGAGGAGGTTCTCAATTCGACTTTATTTTTTTGTGTCCTCAGAACTTTTTTCTAGGTGAACCGATTTTGATGATTCGTCTTTTATTTGAAGCTGGTGCATCTCATGTGGTCCCATGTAAATTTGATCAAGATATGACCAGTAATTTTTGAGTTACCCTTAATAATGCTTATTTAATTGACTACTTGATGTTGTTCTTATTTTATTTATATTGAAGTTGGTTGTACAAAATTTTAACTTTACCCCTTGTTTGAATACAACACTTACCATCATGTGGAACAGTAGTCAAGCATTAGCTTATATAGAGAAAAATTCAAAATAAAAATATGAAAAAATTATTTATTGCAAATATACATGATTAAAATATATTAGATAAAAGAATATTCTATAATTAGGTAAATATAGCATCATGAAATTGATTTTGTAACATTTCATATAAATGTAAAAAAAATATATCACTTCGTAGGAAATTTTCATTTATTTGGTTTGTTATAATTTCATTTAAATTTTGAATAGAAAAAATGCTTAAACCTACAATAATATTTTACTAAAGTAAAAAATTATATTAAATGCATTGCTATGTACTATTCATTACTGTTTCAGCTATTAGTCAAGTTCAATAGGCAAAAACAACTTATGTCATTTATGCAGAAAAAAAAAACAAAATTTAAAAACAAAGAAAATCACAAAACACATAAAAATACGAATATTATTGTAATTAAAAAAAATACATATACCCTTAATACTAATAATATCCAGTTGTCAATTTTTTGACAATATTTTTGTTAACAGTCGTTTTTGTATATTATCATACTACCAAGTTTATAACATACCAAAGATGAATAAATTTGATAGGTCAACATTCATATCACATAGGTCAAAAAACAGTACTAAGCTTTGAGCTTCATATTATGTGATGCACTTGTATTTGAGAATAATCATTTAGTTACAAACAATGTGCATTTGTAGTATTTTCAATTTTTAAAACATTTCAACAACACTAGATTAAAATCCTAATATTCTTTTTGAATAAACATTACACTGTCTCTATTTTGTTTTAAAAACTTTTTCACAAACTAAATACCTATGTCTACAATAGTACCTCATCCATCTATATAAATAAAATCAAAAACATTTACATTTGAATAGCACCAAATTTACTTACTCTTGTGTAATGTATGGAGATCATCTTTACATTATAATACCACCATATACTACATATATGTATTATGACAATATTTTAAAAAATTGTACATATAATTGTGTACATACTTATGAAGTGAAACTTTTTTACAATATATCATTATTCTTTTATTTATTACTCATGTAGCCTTGGCGGTGAAACATTACAACAAAATGTGACTTTTTTTTTAAATAACGTAGTAAATTTCCCCACTATGTCGATAAATAAGTTTCACTTCAAAACTTTACTAAGATAAAAGAATTATGCAAGGACAGTTCAAAATATAATACTATACTATAAAGAATATTACAAACAACTCATGAAAAAACCTCATTGATTGCATACACTTAATTCTATCAAAAATAAAAGTATCACAAAAAAATAAAGGAGGTATCCCACTGTATATTAATTACCACTAGAACAACTTTAGAATACTGTTACAAACAGTTAGCGACACAAGAGGTGATACAGTACTACCATTGTGTAGGTTAACACAGGGTCTTCCAAGCCTAACCCCTGTCTAAAGTAGTTTATACAATAAAAGGTAAGGTGCACTAATAGGATACCTTAAATTATACACAGGGACAATGCAAAAGGACCAAAAACCTGAAAAATATTGTATCCGCATGAATATTGACTCCAGATGGAGTTCTAACCAAAGACTTCAGTCAGCCACTCCGAAGACTTAAAGACTTACATTTATAATTTATTTATAAGATTTCAATGAACATGCATAGCCTGCCTTATTTTTAGAGTACGTGGATCAAAAATACAATTATTCACCAAGTCTTACTCCAATAGTCATTGGTTTTACCTCAGTAAATAAACAGTGATTAGCATCAACCCATTCCACAAAATCTTTAGCCAGGGCCACAGACACTTCTAAAGCCATTATGCAGTCATTTTCAGCACGATGAGCTTCTATACCTGGACGATGCAACACTCTTTCGTAAAGGTTCTTTAATTTGTAACTATCTCTTGGTTTTGTTCCTTCACACCAAGGAAATCTTCTGCGCACTTTAGACAGTCTCTGCCTATCAACCATTTTTGGTGCTCCAGTGATTTTTATTTTTTGATGCTTCGGAGTAGTCTCATTTATTTCTTGCATGGACTTTTTCTTGTCTTCGTCATCAAATTCCTTATCTGAACCTACTTTTTGCTCTAGATTCGTCTTTGTTAAACCCACTTCATTACTTTTATCTATATTTTCTTCATTCACAGATTTACACAACTCAGGTATTTTCACTTTTTCCAATATATCGTAAAAAGCATGTAAACAGTCGGCACATAAAAGATCATCGGAAAATTTAACAGACAATTTCACTAAATGATTTTTAAGAATTGGAAAATCGAAATTGTGCCCATTTTGAGCGATTAGGCACACTGGTTTGGTAAGAATGTTAAGGAATGAGTTTATCGCACTGAAAGCGTCTTCATTAAATTTTGTTTCATACTCAAGGAGATCATTGCAAAGGCCAGTAGTAGTTGTGCTTCCCGGCTGCACCATTCTACAAGGATTAAAACAAATAGTAAGCTTGTTCTGTACTCTAGGGGTGGCACCAGCACGGGTCAATAATAAATGCTGTCGTTTTACCGCCACCATACTTAATTCCGTGATTTTTGTACGATTCGTCTCTTCACGTGGAATACCGGTGGTTTCAAGATCCAAGAAAACGTACGTAGCTACCGACACCATGATTAATAAATGAATAATCGTGAGCTCGGCTTACCTAAACTCAGCAACATTTCAGGTTCAATAGTTAATTACGGTAATTAGCACATAATTGATTATTAACTGCAAAAGATAAATTGTTATTACATTAAATTAAATGTATTTAGTAAATTTATAAAAAAAAAATTTTTACAAAATATTTTATTGACTGATAAGTGATAAGTGAAGTGATTTTTTATATAACTGGCTTTACGGCTCTGAGTTCTAGCCCTTCTGAGCCTGAAGTTACAACGTATAATTATCCTTCAGTACACTGCTTCACAATATGTTGATGCGTCACATTGTGCAACCCTTGAGAGATTTTGACGGCAACTTGAGCCAGCAGAGAGCTTACAGTTGGCGATGGTATCTCAAGGCGCCTAAGCAGACAGACACCTTATCTTGAGAATCACATCACCACTAATAGTTCAGATGTGCAGACACTTAATACACAAAATCGCACCACTTTTACATATCAAAATCCACTTCAAACAATTATTCATTCATTTAATTCATTCACAAGTAACAAACAAACAAGTACACAAACCAAAGATTTTTTTTTGGAGTTTATGGCCTGGTATCTAGACCTTTAGGCCAAGTCTTAAGTATTTTTATTCGGTTTATTGTAATTTCCCCACTCCTTCATAGTATACTGCTTCACAATATGTTGATGCGTCACATTGTGCAGTTCTTGGGAGATTTTGGCGGCAACTTGATCCAGCAGACAGCTGATAGTTGGCGATGGTATCTAAAGGTGCCTATGCAAACAAACAGCTTATCTTGAGAATCCATCACCATCAGAGCACTTGTTTCACTGTTTCCACTAATAGTTCACATGCGTAGACACTTTTACATATCAAAGTCCACTTCAAACCATTATTTAAACAATAATACAGGAGCAGCAAACCGCCGCCGGTCAATTTCCCGCCAAAACTCCCACAAACCAAAGAGTATAGTAACCAGCGTTGCAAATACCAATTTGTCAAATTACCCGAAAATCCATGTCAAATTCCCCAATTTAAGGAGAAACTTTAACAGATTCCCCACAAATTGTATATATATATATATATATATATATATATGTGTATGTATGGTATATGTATTTTTTTTTACCTTTATGTTTATATGCTATAATTTCTAAATTCATTATATTTCTTATTCTTTACTGTTATGTATTATAATAACCGCCTTCGATGTTTTTCCACTCCTCAAGGTTGACAGGCAGAGAATGCTTTAAGCATTATGTCCGCCTTTTGTACTTATATATTTTATAAGGTTCAAAAAAGTTAAATAAATAAATAAATTCTCCTCAATTTTATTTTTAAAAAATGGAACAATTTTCAACTAATTTTTGAAGATTTATTTTTCACTTTTCATATTTTTGTACAAGGATTTTACTCCATGGAATATTTTTAATTCCTTCCCTTGTTGCCATTAAAAGTACCACAGTATCTGCACTTATATGCATGCAGTTCTCTGCTTTAAAATGAAAAAACTTATGTGTGTATTTATGTACGCACGTAAGAAGTTATACTTCTGTCGCGTATCAAAACAAAATAACTAAAATAAAACACTTTTATAGATTCATATATATTTGAATAGCTACCTTGAATATTATTAGCAGTTGTTACAAAAACTTTACAGTTGACAGACAAACCGCTTTTAGGCTTTTAGGCTGCGGTGTGCGCGCGCATCGTAAAAAAATCACTGTCATGATTTTTCTCAAACGCGTCAAAAGAAATATAGCTTTAATAAAGAAATTTAAAGCATTAAATGATACACAAGTCGCCAAAATAAATCCGAGTTAAATTTGGTGTAATGAAGATAATTAAAAAAGGGAGTCATTCCATATTCATAAGTAACCTAACAAAAATGTTAAGATAAGTATTTAGATTTCTTGAAAAAAGGTTCTGACTTGGCCCGAGCTATCGATTTACAAAATCCCTGCATTTTCCTCGCATAATACCAATCCCCAAAAATCCCCAACCAACTTTAAATTCCCCGCAATTTGGGAAATTCCCCACATGTTGTCAATGCTGATAGTAACTGTCCTTGGCACAAACTAAGGCCGATCACATAATTATACGGAATTCCGTTTGAGAATTCCTATTTGGGATTCAGTGAATACATCACACACATACGTTTATTTCCGTTCGGAATAACAAGGGTCAGATGAGAGACGTTAGCCATTGAGTCCAGACCTTGGTCTAGACATTGTGCCAGCGAATAATGGCGACGATTTTCTGATTGCGATTCCACTGTTGCTGTATTATTCTTATGCTGGGGCCACAGTAACGAGAAACGTCAATGCCCAAAAACGCAACAATTATTGCCTTAATTTTAACGCGATAAACTGAGTGGCCACACTTGGGTCGGTCAACGTCATTTCAACTTCAATGCCGTTGAACGGCGTTAAAGTAAACTGACCATTTATTTATTAACTCAAAACGGGACATGGGTTTATTTATACTCCCCAGTTAGCAATTTAATAATAAAAAAAAATTATGTTATTTATTTACTAACTGTAACTTTATACAATTAGTGTTCACTATAATTATAATCGCATTAATTATAATTATTTTTATTTTAACAAATTGTGAAAAATAAAATTAATCACCAGTTCACCAGCTTCATTAAAGCAAAGTTCCTCAGAGAGTAATTATTAAATGCCACATATTTTTTAATTATATTTATATTTGTCAGTGGAATAAATGAAAAGTTGGTGATGATTTTAAATAAGGGCAAGTTTTTTTTACATTGATTTTTGTTATCAACATCGCCTTTAGATCTGGAACATGTAAGTGATTTTTTTTCAGACGTCCACAATTTATTCATAATAGAAAAATACTTTTTCTACTGGAGCATTTGTACCAGGTATACATAAAATATATTCGATTAAAATGCAAGAGAATTTATGTTGAGAATGTTGGTGAGAAATGTTTGAATCACCCAACGAATTTCTGCGAAAACTTTGAAATTATCCCATTCGGTTATTTTTTGGTCGGTCCCGCTCTCGCACAGTTCGTGTCTGACGAACTTCATAGTTTTAAATTTTCTCGCGGTTTAGGACAACGGGACTATTTTGCGTCCCGGAGATTTGTTTGGGGACAACGGGACAGGTGACCGAGAAAAGGGACAGTCCCGTTCAAAACGGGACGTATGGTCACTTTACATTAATATTCCTTGAATTTCAAGCAAGATGAACGTTGACACTGCTACACTATGTTCGATGAGTGTAAATTTTTATTATATGAATATATTTTAGCATTGCCTAAACATGGCTCTGTTTGCAGAATCTCAAGAAACGTAATAACTTTTTCTTTATTCCACTCTATCGTAGCCATACGTGCGACTCCGTTGCGCTCACCGTGCACAATGAGACAAACGTAGTGTGGCCGCTTCAACGCGTTAATTCGTGCGTTAATCTCTTTGATGTACAGACACTCGAGTTATCGTTCAACGGGAAACGGCATTGTTCTTGCCGTTGTAGAATTATCGCGTTAAGTGGTGGCCACACCTACATTCAACGCCCATCAACGCGAAAATCAACGGCATTTCTCGTTAGTGTAGCCCGGGCATTACTGATTGCATCCCCTTATCATCCTAAGCGTGCAATATGGTCAATATTGATTAAAAAGATATATCTATCCATAGGTATTTTTTAATTATGGATGTCTGTAAACTGTATCGATGAATTATTAAATAAAATAAGATGAAAGGTTACGAAAAGCTATACACATATAAGATTAAATGTAAAAACATACATAAACACACCTACTCGCTTCGGTCGCGCAACGAACACTGAGCTAGGGATGGTCGATGATCATTGATGTCAAAAATGAAAACATCGATGTTGCCACATGTCGAACATCGAAACATCGATGTCAATAAACCCATAATCGATTATTGGCTACTTGCGAACCCGCGAAATCAATATCAATTAAATATTGCATCTCCTCTAAAATATTTAAAATTTTGAATAATTCAGAATGCTTGAACGCATCGATAACCTAAAAATATTAATTTTTACAAAATTTAACTGTTAAGTGTCAACTGTTATATCGCAATTATCACTGATCTCGATTGTTATTGGTGTTGTTGTTAGTTGTCTGTTTCTTTAGCGGTTGTTATTAAAAAAATCCGATGGTTGATGTCAAACACGATCCAATGCACGTTTAGAATAATGTTATTGGTTCTACCTCTCAAAAATTAAAAAAAATTGCGGTGAGATATTTGATCACAATCGCGACATCAGTGCAATCTGATTGGTTATCTACCGACTTCAAAAAGAAGGAGGTACACAATTCCACTGTATGTTTTTTTTAATATGTCATCATCATCATCATTACAGCCTTTTATGAGTCCACTGTTGAACATAGGCCTCCCCCAAGGAATGCCACAAAGCACGGTCCTGAGCCACCTGCATCCATCGACTTTCTGCATGTCTTACCAGGTCATCACACCATCTAGTGGGGGGTCGCCTTACACTTCGCCTACCGGTACGAGGCTGCCACTCGAGAACCTTTCTTCCGCATCGGTTGTCGGTTCTTCGAGCTATATGGCCTCGAAAATATTTTTAATGTGTGTTGATTCTTTTTTTTATTTGCAATCTGGTGCTTCACATGTGGTCCCATATAAATTTGACCCATATAAGTCTGCCCAATAGTTTTTGAGTTATCCTTAATAATTTATATTGAAAACAGTTGGACAAAATTTTTTATTTTAAATTATTTTCAATAGCTGCCTCAACTCTTTATAAACAGAGAAACAGATTGAAAGATACTTCTTTGTCAAAATTATTATTTCTTCAATCAATTGGCAAAAATATTGGACAATATAACAAATGAATTAGATATTTATGAACTTCTTCCAATTTATTTTAATTACTGTTTTACAGTACATTGTTTATTAATTTCTTTTATTTCATTAATTATAAACCATAAATAACATGACAATTTTTTTATTCATCTCATTCTAACCAATTAAAAACATGTGCAAAAGATCGATAATGGCCAACATCGATGTTTTGCGTAGGATAAAAATCGAACATTGATGTTGAGCTATCGATGTCAACATCGATGTCATCATCGATGTTTCTACAACATCGATCATCCCTACACTGAGCGCGTTCCGTACGGAATTTACGAATGTGTCTTGCGACTCATACAAAATCTATGGAAGACTTGCGTTCGGAGCGGCTTTTTTCCCTTCGGGATTCCG